TGTAGCAGCACTATGTGCAGCTACAAGGATTGAACAGAAAATAATTTGTATTATTTTAAAATAAGTAGATGTCCCATAGGGGAGCTTACAAAATAGAAACATACTCTGCTCACTGTGAAATCACAATCAGAATTCGAAAGTGCTGCCAAGAGGCAGGCCAAGATATTTGGAAAAGGCTTAAGATTTAAACGATGTGGCACTTTCCAATGATTATTTTACAAAGACACATGTTTCTCTCCATTGTACAGGAAGTAATATTGAATTAAGCGAAATGCCTTAAGTGATTTAAATGCTGATTTGCATCCTCCAATAGAAGATTCGTCATGAAAAGGCAGATAAGAAATTCACTACTTCGTAGAGCTACCTACCCAAAAGGACAGTTCTACTGGCACACTGTAAAAATAAGAGAAACATTCTAAATTTAGAGATGTCTTTTTTAGGAAAGCATACACACACACACACACACACACACACACACACCTTCAAACCTCTCCCTGAACCTTTGGAAGAAAGAAGGTGCACAGTTTGGAAACAGCTCTCTGCCATCCGGGAGTAGATGTAATTAAATGTAGTAGCTAAATATTATAAGGACATATACCGGCACCCTTTGCCAGAAGATATCTGTAGACTAAAAAGTGAGAACTAGATAAACTATTCACGACACGCTGAATATTGAATGCACCATTCAAAATAAAAATCTGAATATTTATAACTCAAAACAAAACACAGTTTTTAAAAAGCCAGTAATGTTTATATCATTACAAACTACTTGTAAATCATCTTCTCACATTTACATTCTATCCTTTTCGAATATGACACCAAGTTCTTCGCACATCAAAATAACAAATGGAATTCTAATTGCATGACAATCGGGAAATGGCTTCATCACAAAGTTGAACTTTAATGCTGACATGCAGATTCAGAAGCTAGACTTTCTTGTGTGACACAAAAATGGGACAATGCACCAATCCGGGTGATTCCTCGTGAGAATTCTCTTTCAATCATGTCGGACAGTGTTCAGATTTCTCAATTAACATTTATTCTGATGCAAACTATGCAATGACTCGCTAACATGGAATTTTGGTGTACTGCTTCTGCAAACATTGAGTACCTCTGGGTTGAGGATACAGATAAATATTAAAGCAGATGAGGGTGCTGACAGAATGGACCCTTTTTTACATGGGAACAAAATGGGTTGTTTTATAAGGCATGGAAATGCTCAAAAAAACAACTGCTCAGTTTTAAAAGCTAGGAGGCAAAAGAGTCCCCCATTGGCAACTGTGTGGAGGGAAAATAGGATTACATTTATTGGCTACTCTATCAACTTAACTTCTCATAAAATCTTCCTGATCTATGAAATAACTTCAGAACTGAAGTATGCTCTCCTCTGGGAGCTGGAGAACAAATTAGATACTGTTACAACTCAATACAAATAATAATAATAAAAAAAACAATACTCCATTGCCCCATGACTCTGTATTGTATAGCTTTACCATTTAAATGAGAGCAGAGTTTCTCTAATAAGATCATGTCAGGCCACCTGATAGCATTAGAAGGTTTGGGGTTTTTTTTTTTGCGATGTAGCGAGGGAAAAAACAAAAAGCATGCACGCAAAAATATGAGCAAACTTTGGAAAACTGTAGTAACTATACCTCCCCAAAGTGAATACAACAAACATCTGTTGCAAGAATTGCTTGGCTTTCAGACAGCACATAAAGGGTGTTTTTTCCCCCAGTGTTTTGCTATTTTTTAAAAATTCTTCTTCAATTAAAAAAAAAATCTGTTTTCACTATCAATTTTCGATAGGCAGAATCTTAAAAATTCTGTTAAGTTAAAGACAGGTCTTTACCAGCTAGAGAACCAAACGGGAACGACAGTGTAAGCCCCACTTGAGTTCTGAAGGGTCACAGAATAATTGGGCCTGGTGCCCACTGTCTGGGGGTTACACGGCAGCCTTAACCATTGTCTCCCTTTCTTCACTCAGTATTCTTCCTAGGGAAGTGCAACCACCCTCTGAGCTGAAAGGGGGCCCACATGTACAACTTCCCCCATCATTTTCACCCTCTTATGAAAGCTCAGGGACCATTCAGCCTTTGACTCTAGTAGATTGTTACCAGTCTCCTCAAATCAACAATATCCTGAGCTCCTCATTAAATGACAAGGGAAGTCCGGAAGTTTGATTCCTGAAACAGGATAAATCCTAGCAGTTTTTGCATAACACATTAGGTAGAGACTCCAACCACTTCATTGGGCAGAGCAAGACTCAATAGCCTTTATGATTCACTCTTTTCTGAACATCAATTTTTTTCTTAAATTAAAGGTATCTCCTCTGATTCTGAAAGAATAGCATTGTGCCTAGTCACAGGCATGTTTGTTTAGAAATGCCAGAGGAAGCATGCAATGTGGCAGGTGAAAACAAATAAAAATGTTTAAAAGTAACAGGAAATGGGCATTTGATGCATTTATAAGGAAAGGATGAGAGAAAGAAATCCACTTCTAAACAAAGTTCAAGGACTGTCTGACTTTGTGTACTTTCCAGCCACCCACTGACGTCTGTCCCCATACACCCTGAGGTGATTGTTTACCCCCAAAGTTGAAGATTCTGTTTCACACCCCATTTTTATGTGTCCTCACAATCAGGTCAATACCTTATTGAGTTCTTCAAACATTCCTACAGTATTTACAACTCTGTTCTCTACCCAGTAATGATGCCCTGTGGTTAACCTAGCAGAACTGTATACGTTGAGAATTGATCATGAAAACAGTTGTACAGCCTACAACCAGACATTATAAGGAGGTTGACAGGAAGGCTCTATCTCACCCAGGATGGGGGTTGGGAGTTTGGGGGCTCGGGGGTGGTGGTGGTGGTGGATGAAGCTCCCCTTTCTTTTTCGGCCAAACCTAAAGGAAGCGTGTGCACTTCAATTTACACTTCCATGAACTTCAAGGAGATCTAGGACGCAACTCGCCCACATTGGACATCAAACCAATCTAAAACGCACCTGTAAGGTACGTGTGTCTAGATGATGCAGGTTGGGGGAATGCTTTACTTCAATAGCCCTCAAACTGATATTTCACAATTCCACGACAAGCAAAAAATTTGGGGGGAAATTGTTTCAGATCCATACAGATGAAGAGGAAAACCCAGGTCCCATCTGTTCTGGGACATAAAAGCATAGACTCATTTGCAAAGCCCGCCTGTGATGACGGTACACTTATGAACGCTGCCTTTCCTAAAGATGACTTGTATCGCCTTCCCAAAGAAGGGAGGGCAATGCTAACAGGTTCTATCAGGTGCAGGAGGCAGGGAACCCGAGAGCTCTCTGGACTTTCTGCACAAGATTTCAGAGCCCAAAGCTGCTTGGAAAAACAAACTCTATTTAAAAGAAAAAGATATTTTTCCTTTTTCCTCTGAGAGCCAGCCAGCCAGCCAATCCACACATGGCACACTCACAAGCAATGAACAGTTTAAAGCTTCCTTTATTCCGTGTGACAGTCTCTAATTCCTTACTGAGGGTTACCATGAGTCAGAACAGTATGATTTCTAAGAAAAACAAACAAATGTTTTCTTAAGTTTGAAACAAAAACAAAGAAACAACTCTTTTTTTCTTGCCTATGAAGCCATTTGAAGTTGTGTAAATTGTGTTGTATCTGTTGCATGACATATTACACAGATATGTGCGTGTTATATTGCTTATTTATGTTTTTGTATACATCTGTTACAAGGATTATCAATAACGATGCATTTCCACCACAGCACTTTACAATCAGAAACTAATTAAACGCCTGCAATTAACTATGATTACATGTTATTATGTCTATTCTCCAGACAGAAAAACTGGTGATGAGAAGTTAAAAGATTTGCCTAAGCTCTTAAGAACCGGTCACTAAGGCATCATAATTAAAATGTTAAATATCTGCACATGAATGCTTGCCTGAGTGGATTTTTATTACTTTTTATCTTAATGACTGAATATTAGCTATAGAGGATTCCCCAAATGTATCAAGGTTCTAAGACGTTTGTGCTGAATGAGGCAACTAAAGATCAACCTAAGCTGTTTGCTTAACACAGCGGTTCTCAACCTGTGAGTCACGACCTCTGTGTGTGGGTCAGATGACCCTTTCACAGGGGTCGCCCGATTCATAACAGTAGCAAAATGACAGTTATGAAGTAGCAACGAAAATAACTTTACGGTTGGGTGGGGGGTCACCACAACATGAGGAACTGAATTAAAGCGTTGCGGCATGAGGGAGGTTGAGAAGCACTGGCTTAAAAAGAGATCCTTGCCTTTTTCACGATTTTCTCCAACACTTCCGGTACCTCTTCTTTGCATACATTAAACTTCAAAGTAAATTATCCAAATTAATCCCACTCACTTATAATAAATTGCATTATTCCCATTGCACAGGTGAGAAGCTAGGCATGAGAACAAAGCTCTTTGCCCATGGGTCATACACAAAATGTGGAGGAGGTTTGGTGTTAGGACATGTTATTTCTTGACTCTGCTTCCATTTTTCAGATTAAAGAGCAATGCCATTCCTATTCACCATCTTAATCCAAAGTCACTTGAGGAAACACATTAATATTCTGGAAATAGGCGAGGAGAAAGATCCTGAAAGTTATAGGCATAAAGGAATATATAAAAAGGTTTTATGCTGTGCTACTAAAACGCTATAATTCAAAAAGCTCATTTAAAAGCTGGAGAATGACGCAAGTTGGCCGGTAAAAGAATATGACAGCCCTTCAAAATAGATGAAAAGTACGTCCAGAGATCTCCTCTAACTTTTGCTAAACAGTTTTTAAAAAACAAGTGAAACAATCCAGAGGATGGAAGGGTTATGTAAGAAAACAGGACTTTCTGATTTTTAGGAAAGCTGAAGTCTCATAAAACAACATAATCAGTACATCTTTAACTATGTGCATCTTGCCAATTCTGACGCAGCAGCAAATGCCCAAGAAACACAGGCACACAGGGAGCTGTCACAGTAATGAGACATACCTCTTGTACTGAGCGAGCCGCTGGCTTGTCTTGATGATTGGCCAGTATTAAAAAGGGTAAAGTGCATAATTGTGGATGCTGAAGAGCTGAGTGCAGTTCATTTCTAGCAGTTTCTAAATCATCTTCTGATGAGGCACTGTCTAACACAAATATTACCCCTTGAGATCCTTGGTAGTAGCGGCTCCAGTATTTCCGAATATTATCAGCCCCTATAAAAGACAAGACAAAACAAAATCCCTTAAAAGGCTTGTCTTCAAACAAACAGCCATCTAAGTCAGGCATCAACTAGGTCCACATGGCAGAAGAACACCAGCCTGTGTGACCCAAGGACTGGAAATAATAAAACCCACATCTCAAAGAGGAATGGTATCAGAGCTTACACTGTGAACACCTGGTTTGCAGAAGGGTATGGATGACAGTGGAAGCCAAACCTACTTTTAGAGTCTACACATGGATTAAGCCTTTGGTGAATCCTCTCTGACCGGAGCGTTGGGAAGTGAATAGCTTTGTTTTACACAGAGAGCATCAGAAAGTTGGTTAGACAGATGTAATTGGGTTAAAATGTAATATCGTATCATTTGATCTCCCCTTTGACCCATTTTAAAGTTGTTTCAGTTAAAAAAAAATAAAACTGAAGGGGAAATACACGTGGATTAAAGGTGACTCCCCTTGACCACAGACAGGGACGTGAATAGCCTGATAATCATGCAGACTGCATTGGAAAGTGGATGATTGAAGACGCGGTGGGGTTAACACTCAACACCTCATCATGTGATCTCCTTTTTGACCGATTTTAAATTTGTTCAAGTTTTTTCTATTTTCTGCTGTCTTTCAATTGAGGTTTGTCTCTGTTCTACTTTGTTATCGTTGTTAGTGTTCCGTTCTTTTCTTTTTCTGTACATGAAATCCGGGATCGGTACACTTACAGAGATGTAACTGGATTAATGGTTTCTTGCGAATATGACAGGGGAGGTTGAGGAGAAAAAGAAAGCTAATAACAATGAGTACAAGAATGAAGGAAATGCTCTAAAATTCATTGTGCTGTTGATTGCACAGCTCTTCTGAATGATTGAACTCTTGAACTGTATGATGTGTGCATTATAGGCCGATGAGACTGTTTAAAAATAGCAATAAAATTGTAAAAGAATAGTCTTCAGCAACTGAAAAACATTCCCCTTTGTAATTCCTACTGGAAAACAATGTAGCTTTTAAAAATTAAGTGCTAACCTTTATGGTATAAGGCAGAATAGGAACTCGCGGGGGGGTAACAACAGAAAAAGCCTGGGAACCCAGAGGTGGACAATGGCCTTGAAAGACACAGAAGTTTGAGCGTCATTCCTGACAGCTTTCTTGTCAAAGTATGGGAGAAAAAAACTACCAGGATAAATACTTCTTAGAGGCAAGCTCAAAGAAGGTTTTCAAACATGTCCAATTGTCCTAAATAAGCTACACTATCAAAATTGAGTTCGAACGTAACACCGAAGGGCTTGACTTGGACGTTCACCAAGATTAACGTTCACAATCTGCCATTCGCCTGCTTCATTTTCTAGTGCAACTGCTTGCTGATCAGGACAGCCTTGCTTAGCTCATCTGAAGAGTTCAAATGATAATCCTAATCACTTCAAGAATCCACGTGCTGAAGTTTGTGGAAGATAACATCCTTGGTCTTTGGTACGTGTGGTTACAATACATTTGGTCTCATCATCCACAGAGAAGAATAAAAGAAAATGAGCATGCTCAGGGTCCCAATTAAATAGGAAACATAAAGGGTGGGTCTGTATTAAAATGTATTTAATGGCATGGAACTGGTTAAGATACCAATTTTACGTTCTGTTACTTATGTCTTCACCAAGGCCTGTTATAAGACATTGATATAATCAAGTGCCTCTTTGATTTCTACGATGTAATGTCAAGTTCAATACGGGTGTTTTTTGGATTACTGAAAAATAAATTATGCATTCATTAAGATAAGAGGCTTTTGAGAATCGGGGAAAACGTTAGAGATTATTCCATCCATCCTCTGAGGAAACTGCCGATCTGAGAAGGTGGAGGTGACTGACCCGTGCCACATAGCCAGTAAATCATAAAATGCATGTGTGCACACTGAGGAAGTGCGGAAGTATCATTGGTTAGAATTCCTTAGCCATTGACTCGATTCTGACTCACAGCCACCCAAGAGGTTAGATGGGAATGGCTCCACAGAGTTTCCCAGGATGCAATCTTTATTGGAACAAATAAATCGTTTTTTCTCCCATGGAGCACTGGTGGGTTTGAGTGGGCAACCTTTCCGCTGGGAGCCTAGCTCCTGCCCACGGCACTATCACACCTCCCTGTGCTACAGAACAAGAACTCTCCACCCAGGAATGTCATCAACTTACTGCACAAGATCAAGTCCCAACTAGTTAATCATTACATTTCAGTCATTTGTTGAACATCTAGCGCCTCTGTTGGGTGCACTGTGCTGTGTTAGGAATATGAATTGTGGGGACGGGAGCAGGGAGACACTGGCAGGTGAGATCAGCGGTGTGTGAGATCACATTGGTAGCTTAAAGTCTGGCTAGCTTGAGATGAGGCATCTAACTCAGAGCAGGGCAAGTCTTACAGAAGAGTAACACAAGCAACAAAAGAGCTACCATTTGTTAGGCACAACACCATGTATTAAGTACTTCCTATATTCCAGGGATAGTGCTGTTTTACTAAGAGCAGCTCACAGAGCTCTCAAACAAGCTAACTGACTCTGGCGAAGAAGCTTTTCAAATTTTGAGTGTTTGAAGTTGAGCCATCTCAAATGTGCAAAGGCATGGGATCTGATCAGAGTTAATACATATCCTTCGGGCCAATAGAGAAACCAAACAAAATAAAGGAAACCACAGCAGAGCACATGATACAAAATATTAAGGACACAGGAGCAGCATGAGGGTCACCGATATGCTTAGGTCGGATCCCCTCGAAGGAGAGTATGAGGTGGGTCTCTTTTTTTTTAACACCCAATTTACTATGAGAAACCAGGAGTGGGATCCGCAAGTTAGGATGGAGGAAGCATAATACGATGAAGGAAGCATAATACGATGAAGGAAGAAGCAAGTTAAGTTATGGATTCAAAAATCTAGCCACAATTGCATCACATGGGAAGATCTAGTGCTTAGATGAAAACACAGAAGTGGTCCAATCCAGAGGCAAGGGGCCTGGGCTGTGATGCGCTCATGTAACCATTGGCTATGAGCCACCGCGGAGGAGGCGGGGGATGAAGATGAGGAGGGGCTCAGGCCGTGATCTCATACAATCTTCCAAACATATTTGGTTCAGGCAACTCCCAAAGCAGCTCTTGTCAGCCAAGGGCAAGCCTCTGGAGAAGGGTACAGGTGTGAGTCATTAGTAGCCAACAACCGCAGCAGCTGGGAGATGGGTGCACTAGCCCAGTAAAGGAGGTCTGGGTGGGAAACGGACAGCATCTGTTATGAGCCATATCCAGACATTATCCATATGCTGGAGAACCATCCCTAAACTGGAAGGGAAAAGTGGAGGCAGGGTTACCCAGTGGCTTATAAACACAACAAAAATATTGTGCGCATAGGCATCTGTATAAAAGTTATTAGAAATTTTGTTCATATAAAGGGCACAGAGCACATAATTTTCATATAAGAATATGTATCCTCCGGAGGGGGAGGAACCACAGAAACATGAGTGAGGGGAGACAGTGGACGGTGTAAGATATGAAAATAATAATAATTTATCATTTACCAAAGGTTCACGAGGGTGGGAGGGTGGGAAAAGGGAGGGGCTGATAGTAGGGCCTCAAGTAGAAAGAAAATGCTTTGAAAATGATGAGGGCAGCATATGTACAAATGTGACTGGTACAATTGATGTATGGATTGTTAGAAGAGCTGTAAGAACCCCCAGTAAAATGATTTAAAAATATGTACAATACATTTTATTGTAAATTCCATATTATAAATCACTTTAGACTTTGTCCAATAACACGAAATAATCTACACTCCACGAACTGAGTTCAAATCTAACTCAGAGAACAGTATAATCTACATGTTCACCAAAACTACTTTTTAGAACATTATCTCAGTGACTTTTTCTAAATGAACCGCTGGCTGCTCAAGATAAACTTGCTCTATTTCATATCAGAGTTAAAACTATCTGCAAATCAATGTCAGCTATCAAAGTGGTGAAATGTGTGGTGGGTAAAAATCTTGGTCTTACCATTGATTTATTTGATTCACTTCTAGGATACACCGAGTATTGCAACAACATCCTCTCTGCATGATTTTGTTTATTTTCGCCAAAAATACATTCATAACTAACCAATAGTAAGAACTGACCAACAAGTAGAGTTCGGACGTGGAGACTGATTGCTCCAGGATGTTACAGGTATTAACTGATCTGCCCATGACAGCCATAAAGTTGCTGTTGTGAGATGCCATCAAGACCCGATATCCAAGGGAATGAAATATCACCTGGCCCTGCGTCATTCTCACAATGGTCCTTATGTTTGAGCCCGACACAATCGGCACTGTGTCGATCTAACTTGATGAGGTCTTTCTCCTTTTCGCTGCCCTATTATTTTGCCAACCACGATGTCCTTTTCCACGGACTGGTCTCTCTTGACAACATGCCCGAAGTATACATGAGACTAAGTCCTGCCACCCCAGCTCTCAGGAGCATCCTGGCTGTACCTCTTCCAAGACAGACCAATACGTTCTTCTGGCAGTCCTTGGTCCTGTCAATAGTCTTCTCGCTACAATTCAAGTGCATCCATTCTTCTTCGGTCTTTCTTATTCAAGGTCAAAATTTCACAGACATATGCGTCAACTGAAAATATCATATCTATGGTCAGACACATCTTAGTCTTCAAAGTGACATCTTTGCTTTTTATTAACACAGGGAGATTTTTTTTTTGGGGGGGGCAATAGATTTGCCAATAAATTGCATCTTTTGATTGCTTGACTGCTGCTTCCATGGGTGTTGATGGTGGCTTCGAGTACATTGAAGACCTAGATACACACTTTTCCTGATTCTAAATTACGCAGTATTCCCTTGTTCTACTTGAATGACTTCCTCTTGGTCTATGTTTGAAACAAACACAATTAAGTCTTCCAGAGTTCTTGCTTTTGAAATTTTACCCCTTATTTGCTATAATCCACACAGTCAAATGCCTCTGCATAGTCAATAAAACTGAGGTGCAGTAATATTAAATGGT